AATCCATGAAATCATTTAATATTGTGATGTAAAATTATTGGTTCTGGCATATAGAGATGGTTGTTGTAACTAATGATTATGTATCGTTAATTCTCGTGACATAATTGGAACTCAGTAGCAGTGGTGTGGCAATGCATTATATACGAAAAAAGCTTCAGCTGAATATGTGCTTGCTTCTTGGCGTTTCTGTTCACCTTTAGACTCGAACCCAGTTTTTTGCTTTTCAAAAGTCAGCTATCTATCCATTAAACTGCTGACTTCAAGTAACCACTAGCTTGTTCAGCACATATAATGCTTATATCACTATTAGTAAACATTGATCAGAAGCGTTGGATAACTTGGCTCAGAATTGGCCATTATCACTTAGATGCATTTACTCATTATCTTCCTCCTTGAATCTTAATGTTAATGTTTTTTATACTACTATTGGTACTATTACTACATTTACTACTCTGTCAACATGGTCTATCAAATATATCGATTTCATCTGTTCATCTATCATTTATTTATTTAATCATATATTATTACAAAGGGGCACCAAATATATAAGCACCTCATAAATCATTTGATTTGTGTGAGGCCTGGGATACTGCCCGGACACCCAAACCGAAGCAGGTAATTTTCTTAGAGAGTTACTCTCCGAATGTTGACCCAAACATTGTAGCGATTTTAGGAGATCTGGATCCATGGTAGCTGCTGAACAAGAATAGGTTCATACACCATTTGTTCTCCCAGGATCATGGAGCTCATGTACACCATTGGTTTGGAATCAGGGTTTTCTAACTTCCATACCCACCAACATAGTTTAATCGTCGAAAATTCAATTTTCGCCCACTGAGTTTCGTAAACAACATTCGGTTAGTGTTATGCCCCGATAACAATAGTGAATGGTAACTTTATGATCCATTTATGGACCAATATTATGCGTATCATTTTTATCGTATATTTGCTAAATAATTAAACTACTCATATTCATGTTCCTTTCATCGTGAGCTTTATTTTGACCCTTGGACTATTATTGTACGATTTACCATTCTTGAATTATATCCAGTCTATTAATTATTGCTCCCCCTATTCACAGCCACATTTAGCTAAATCTTGTACAAATGTTATTTTCTATTTTATTGGTACGATGTGGTCAGTCTGTTTAGTATATAAACTCAATATTTTTGAAATACAAGGATTCATACCGCAGAGACTGTTATTGGTGTTCTGGACTTAACTGACTGGGCTAGCCAGAAAGCAGGGCCGGTACGTACTCTGGACTTCTCGTACGGCTTTTCGTGTGTAACTTTTCCAATCGATAATTCACTGCTCTCTGGTTGGCGGTCTTATCACGTCATACATTAACTTGGGCATCCACTCGGCCATAAGATATAACAGTTAGCAAGTCAGTGAGTAGGACATTTATTTATTTAAACGCATAAATATTAGTACAAGGAAGCACCAGATAAATATGCGCCTCACAAATCTCATTTGATTTGTGTGAGGGCTGGGATACTGCCCAGGTTTCCAAACCGAAGCAGGTAGTTTTCTTAGGGGACCACACCCGGAGCCTTTGACCGAAAGATCTGATCCACAAGGCAGCGGAGCATCGTAAGGAGATGCAGTTCCATGGTAGTCGGTGACCAACCATTGATTTATACGCCAATTGTTCCCTCAGGATACTGGAACCCATGTGGATCATTGATTTTGAATCAAGGTTTTCCAACTCCCCTAGGTAGATCCTCTGTGTCCACCAACCCGGTTACTGTGCGGGACATTCGCTTTCCGTCCTCTCAATTTCGTAAACAACAGTAATGTCACGAGAAGGCAGTGAGTAGGACTTATCTGACAGAGGCTATATATTTTCGTGTCCATGTTAGAGCATTTCGAGAGGAAGAGCGGACTCTCCTCCCTCTCAGCCGTACCATTGCATTTGGGTGCAGTGAGTAGAATATCCTATGGCAGTAACTTTTTATCCATGATGTTTTCACTAAAGTTTTCGATTATAACCTAACCAGATTAAATAAAACAAAACTTTCCCTAATTTATCAAATTTAGATATAATTGTAAATTTTAAAATTACATTGAGGTTATTATTTTAACCACTAATAGGCTACCAATTATCCCTGCTATTACTACTACTGATATTACATTATAGTATTAATACAAATTTTTAATTTATCTAAATGCTTTGATCTTTTTACCTTTTTTTCTACGAATTTTACTGTGTAGATGGAATAAAGTGGATTATTATTATATCTACTCATGTTTATCCTCTTCTTTCCCTTCCATTAAGAATGGTAGTTTGTTTAGTAGGTCTTAATTGAAGTGAATTATCGTAGATCCAAACTGCTTTTAGTCATCCTTATTATTATTATTATTATTATTATTATTATTATTATTATTAGTAGTAGTAGTAGTAGTAGTAGTAGTAGTAGTATCTTTCTTTCCTTGAAAGTGAACACTTTACTGATATAATTATAAATCTATTGATTAAGTATTTTCCCTCTTTTACTTTTACTCTTTGCATCGAATGGTCAAACTATTATTATTTCCTTATATCAACTCATACAGGAAATTAATTAAATTTTTTGTTTGTATTCATGTACAAATTTATATATAGAATTGCCTCTGAATGCTGTGGTACGGCTGAGAGTGGGGAAAGTCAGCTCTCCCTCTCGAAATGCTCTCACATGGACACGAGAATATATAGCCTCTGTCAGAGAAGTTCAACTCACTGCCTTTTCATGGTAGGGTGTTGTTTATGAAAGTGAGAGGATGAAAAGCGATAGTCCAATGCTTTAACCGGATTGGTGGACCCACCATATCCACCTAGGGGAGTTGAAAAACCCTGATTCCAAACCAATGGTGCATATGGGCTACAGTATCCTGAAGGAACAAATAGCGTATGAACCAATTGTTGATCACTGACTACCATGGGACTGCATCTCCTTACGATGCTCCACTGCCTTGTGAATCAGACCTTTAGGTCGAAAGCTCCGTGTGTGGTCCCCTAAGAAAACCACCTGTTTCCGTTTGAGTACCCGGGCGGTATCCCAGTCCTCACACAAATCAAATGAGATTTGTGAGGCGCATATGTATCTAGTTCCTCTTTGTACCAATATTTTCGTGTTTAAATAAATAAAATACATAGAATTGAAAGAAATTTTTTACAACCTATTTAGTTCATTTAACTAATTGTACATATGATATAGAGTCCAGGTATACAAATATTTGGATGCTTGTTTTGTATACGTATACGGTTACATATGTATCTATACTTCTTTCTTCATGACCTTTTTAAATTAATTATGAAATATTAGTTGTTATCTAAATGGTATCCATTTGATTATCAATCTCATTATTGTATAATATAGGTTGTTATAGATTATTTAACTTTTCTAAACTGATAATCTTACTCTATGTGATATGGCTCAGAATCGATCACAATGGCGTAGGTGTATACACTCTTTATCTTCCCTTAAACTTTGAGATTATAATTGCTTCATAACGTTCTTCCTTCCTATACTATATCCTTATATACAACCTTTCTTTTATATATTACCATTACTCAATTAACTATTTCTATGAATCAGGTGTTCATCTTGTTGTGTTGATGTGGTATGGGAACTTGGACCGATGCATATATGTGCCTGGTCCTACGTTGTAGCTAACTGACTGACTATAACAAACATTAATTTACAACTTTATAATGATAAATTCTAAGATATATCATTATTAGAAAAAATATTTGAATGATTCTTATTGGTGATAAGTTTCAATTAAGATGAAATATGCTTCTTAGATTCTATCACATAGTCGAAAATCTATGTATTCTGTTGTAAGTCAAAGAATGTTTCGAATGATAGTTTTCATTGATGGGATTGTATAACAAAACAAAGTCAATATAAAAATGGAAATAGGAACCAATTTCAATAGTTTAGAGGTCTGGGGCTGTCTGTGAAAGACCTGACAAGTCTTGGTTATTAAACACATATATATGGGGGGGGGAAGGTTTTGTGTGGGAAAAGTACTGTCTAAAGTGCCTTAACAGCTAATTGGTTAACTTCAGGTTGTTTTTCAGCTGATATTATTTCATGTTGTCGAAGTTTTACTATTGATATTCCATAGAGCAGTTACTGATAAGGAAAGTCATACTTCATTTATGTTTTAATTGTTTCTTAACATTTTATATTTTGACAGTTTATTGGTTTAAGCATATAATGAAATCTCTACCATGCTTTGCTTTTTCCTAATTTGACGAGCGATATACTCCTCACTTTGGAAGTTAACATTAAAAAATACCGGTCTCGCCGTTTCGTCCTATTGTGGGACTTCTCAGCAGTGCGCATCCACAGCCTCATAAGGTTCGAACCCAGGACCTACCAGTCTCGCGCCGGAGCACTTAACCGATAGATCACTAGATGCACACTGCCACTGAGGAGTCCCACAATAGAACGAAACAGCCGCCAAGTGCTTCCAGATTTTCCTTGGTTGTCTAGCTTCTTATTGACTCATGCTTTCAACTATGCAAACATTAAATCTCCACGAAAATCCTTTCTGATTACAAAATATAATACAATATAATTATCAAGTCAAACCTTGGTGATACGCCTCGTCAATTCTATTCTAGTAACCCGCAGGCTAGAACTACTCAGCGACTTAAACACCAGAAAGAAGGCGCATGTATGAAAGAAACTTTTTATTCCAGGGTTCCTTCTTGTACAGAAAATCGTGGGTATTAATAGATGTTAGCGTTTGTTAAATCAACATCATATTTCAGCCAATCCGTTGACGACATTTTTTGCTACCGACCAATAGTAGCACGCCACGTTGGAACTCTAGAATGTTCCGTCATACTCTGATTGGCTAGGTTTCTTCGGTTCCTTTTTGGGCATCTGGAGGCTCCGTTGAAGTTTTCCGGAAGCAGACTCAACACTTGGTAATGATACTTAGTAACTATTATTATTAGTAGTAATTATGTTTATTTTTTGTTCATTTACAATTCAATTCAGTTCAACTCCAGTTAATAATTCCCGGCGAAGTGTATCAGCTTGTAGTCTACCACATTTTGATGGTAATACATTCAATGAAGATTCAATCGATTTATTTTCACATCCTAATCATCATCATCAGAATCAAAATAATCATAATAATGGTAATTTTATAACTAATATACAACAAAATCCTATTGGTCAATCTATTAAAAATCATTCACTGAATGGTGGTAATAATGAATGGAATACTTCAAATAAATTAATGACTAAAAAATCATTACGATTAGGGATTGGCGATGAACAACCATTAACTCCACCACCGCCTAAATTAATGTCATCAACATCATCATCATCGTCGTCGTCGTCATCGTCATCAAAAAAACTTCTAACACCTTTATCAGGATCATTGATAAGAACAACAACAACAACATCGACTTCATTTACTGATGATCATACAACATTAGATATTATTCCTAAATTATCACCTAATGTTAATTGTACTATGAATGATGATGATGATAATAATAATAATGTGAACAATATTGGTGAATATAATTTAAATAGGAAAAATTCATCACCACAAGAATCATCAATGCAAGAATTAGCTAGTCTACTACGTAATTCTCCAGCTTCAGGAGTAAGTTACATTTTGTTTATTGTATTAAGAATGGTTTGTGTTGTGGTTTAATACATGATTTTCATAATTTTCATCACAGATTGATTTTGGTTAGACCATTATTGATAATCATCAAGAAGTATTTTGTTTTAGTATTGAACTTCTGATAAAGTTATGGGTGCATATTATTGTGGAACCGTATATTAGAACAAAACAATTGTCTGGTGATTCCTTGTAGGACTTCTCTGACAGAGGTCATGTGAGAGCATTTCGGGAGGGAGAGCGGACTCTCCTCACTCTCGGCCGTACCAGGGCATTTGAGGGTTTCATTCAGTTAATGAGTGTTGCGTATAGCATGTAATTTTCACTAGACATTTGATTTTAATTATTTAGAGCTATCTGGATTTGTCTTCTATTGAACACATCACACCACTGTAACGCATTCCAACCTATCAAGTGAAAAGGAAAAAAACAGCAACTTAGGTGAAAGTTAGAACTTAAAATGAAATGTTCAGTGAAAATCACGCTTTTATATTTATATGCAGCACTTACACAGTGAATAGACAGGAAATTAATTGCCCTAAATTGGTTGATACTGCATACAAGTTTGTTATGTCTGAAGCGGTTTCGAATTCACTTAGTCAGCGAATGGAAGAAAGACTTGTGACCAGAGACCGATAAGCTAGCTATTCTGACTCGTCCTAGACCCAGCTAACTAGAGTAAGAAGTACAAGTTGAAAGTAGCCAGAAGTACCAACAATAGCAAGGGTAAGAAATCAGATGTATGTATACAACACGAAATTGTCCTTGGGGAAGCATTACATAATAACACACTAAAAGGTACAACGAACCGATATCATTTAAGATCCTCCCAAATGGGAAATACAACATGAAGGTGAAAATGAGCGCTTTTTGGCGCGAAAACAAAGAAATTCAACTTTTCAAAAAAAAATTACAAAAATAATACATTTACCAAGTGAGTTCTGTGAATTTAACATCCCCAACAAAAATGAACATTGGAAAACAGATGATTCACAAATTTACAGACATGTATCTTACCTTATAGCAACTCTTCTACAATTAACTTTGTTTATGGTTAATTTTGTCAAACACTTCAATTAACTTATGTTATTCAAACAGTACCATTCATCTATTTCTTTTTATTATTTTATGATCACTGTCATATCTGTATAAACGTGTGTACTTGATCAAATGTGACAGCCTACACGTATAATCTTCACTCTATTTTAAATGTTAATCACTTAGATAACGCTTGATGAATCATTCTCTTTCCCATATATGTGTATATATTCTCTAATCTTAATAGTTGCATTTGCTTTGCTTAGCTGCGCCTCGATTCAATTTAACTCTGAATCCATCTTTGTATTCGCTTGCTCGCACACATTAGTCTCTCTGTTCAAAAAAGTATCACTAAAAGCCTCAAGTATATAAACTCAAGTAGTTGGTTTTCAGAGAAACAGTCTTGATAATACTGATTGACGAACGTGTGTATCAATTGGAGTTGGGGTTACTTCAAGTTAATATATGAAGGGCGAAATTCTTTTATCTGTTTTATCTCAACAGATCATAGTAATACAAATATGTATAATTTTACTCGATAAAGGACATAAATGGATTTGTGATGAAAACATTGAATTTTTAACCAACAAGGGACGTATGTTTTCCAACTTCACTTCATATACTTTAATTTAGCCAACTAAATAACATTATTAGCCCTTACCTTTAGTGTATGGTTTAAAGCCAAATACACTTGTCTAAAAAACCTGGTACACAATAGATGGTAATTATATTTAAACATAACATAATAATGGTAAGCAAAGATGGATAGTGGCTAGCAGTGGAATCCAGTTTGACGCGTTTCGTTCTATTTGTGACTCGTCAGCTGGATGTACCTGCATCTCAGAGTTGTTGATGTTCACTCTGGGACTCGAACCTAGTACCTTTCACTTCAAACGCCATCGCGTTATCCACTCGGCCACTGAGTCCTGATAGCCACTTGCTTGTGCAATGGGGTGAAATTGAAATTTACTTAGTATTGTTTTGTTTGAATCTTCCCATTTTGTCATAGTATAGGACTCCTCATCAGTACATATTTATGACCACTCCATAGGGAATCAAACCAAGGACCTTCGCGGTTTTGTTGATCTCTAGATCACTGAACCGGTACTATCGAAATTCAGTCTTGTTATATGTAAGGAATGTACTTACCGAATACAATGGTAGATAGTCTCAAAATATTGTGAATCTATTTAATTTAGGCCTTCTCATGGAAGGCTGAATATCATGAGTTCGGTTCTCGGTTGGGGGACTCTTTTAGAAGAATGAACCGGATGTATAACACTTCCAGATTTGCAATAATTGTCCAGCTTTAATCTTTGCGTGATCTCATTGATGATGTGCGTTTGATTGTTCAACGTCTACTGTCAAAATAACATACACGTACACATTTACACATCTTGAATGTATTAAACGAGTAAAAAGAAACTAAAGATGTAATTTAACGTAATTAAAAATAATTTTTTTGTCATTTTCCAGATTAGTCAAGAGTTGATTGATATGCTTGCTAACATGGCTCAACAATATGGAATGCAACAATCACGTACAGGTAGTCGTGCCAGTCGTAAGTCAATATTATATATATTTTTTTCATTGAATATCATAGATATTCACATTAGGTTATCGTTTGTATAGTTGTGAAGGGTTGAAAAATTCACGTGATTATTGTAATAAATGCTTGGAGATGTTGATGAAGAAGTCTTTAGTCTTTCTCCTCAAACCTTCAGTTTTAAAATTATCTCGAATCCAAGGCCCTCGTTCTCGCACGTGAACGTTTAATCTCTCGACCACTGAACCTGCATCTAACTTCAACCAATCCACGAAATTGCGCGACCATTTTCCATTGTCTGAGGTAGATACCTCTCTCTGCATGACACGAATTAGCTCCACTGGTCACGGCTTCTCACTACAGGTTAAGCGTTTGCTCGCGAGACCGGAAGACCTGAGTCCGAACAACTCATACAGGGTCGTGGATGCACACTTCTGAGGAGTCCAGCACTAGGACGAACCGGCCATCCAGTGCTTCCAGATTTTCAACGGTGGTATCGATCGGTTTATTGTCTCAATCAAAAACTAATATTTCCCTGTTAATCAATACTTGTATCTTCTGGATGATGGCTTTCGTAGTTCTCCAAGTTTCCACTTCCATACAGTAGAACTATCTTGACATTTGTATTTAGAATTTCGATCTTGGTGTTGGTTCGCAGACAGTTGTTTTGAGTTGCAGACGTTTTTTAGTTGTAAATGTGCTGCTCTTGCTTTGCCTTGACATCTGCATGAGATCTACCGTGTTCATGATTGATACTGCCCAGATATGTAAAGGTTTTTACATCTTCCAACGCTTCTCCGTCATGTATGATTTGATTGGTGCATGTTGTATTGTATCGGTGAATCTTGCTTTTTTCTTTGTGTATATTGAGACATACTGGTACTGAGGCTGCTGCTACACTTGTCGTCTTCTCCTGCATTTGTTGTTGCATGTGTGATAGAAAATCCAGATCATCTGCGAAGTCTAAATCGTTTCACTTCATCCTAGCTGTCCATTATATTTCATCCTTTCCTCCCGATGTTGACGTCTTCATGATCCAGTCGATCACCAGCATAAAGAAAAAGCGTGAGAGTAAGCAATCATGCTTGATACTGGCTTTTATTTTGAACTAGTGAGTGAGCTGTCCTCCATGCACGATTTTGTAGTTTAATCCATCATAGGAATTCCGTATGTTATTAAATATTTTCTCATGCACACTGTAGTGTCGAAGATGCCTCCGTAGTGTTTTCCTGTCCACGCTATCACATGCTTTCTCGTAGTCAATGAAGTTGATGTAGAGTGATGAATCTCATTCGATTGATTGTTCTACAATGATACGTAGAGTTGCAATTTGGTCTGCACACGATCGATCCTTTCGAAAACCAGCCTGTTGATCTCGAAGTTGGGTGTCTACGGAGTCCTTCATCCTGTTTAACAATAACCTGTTGAAGACTTTTCCTGGTATTGAAAGAAGAGTGTTGCCTCTGTAGTTATCGCACTTGCTGAGGTCGCCTTTCTTTGGTATCCTAATCAGAAGTCCTTTTTTCCAGTCTTTTGATACTTGTTCTTCATCCCAAATCTTACTGAAGAGGATGTGGTGTATCTTTGCAGTTACTGCTACGTCTGCATTCAGTGCCTCAGCTGGAATGTTATCTGGTCCTGCTGCTTTGCCGCTCTTGATTTGTTTAATGACCATGCTGATCTCTTCAGTTGTTGGTGGACCAACATCGATTGGGGGTTCCGTGGGTGCTGCTTCGATGTTGAGTGGGTTCAGTGGAGCTGATCGATTCAAGCGTTCTTCGAAGTGTTTTACCCACCTGTTCCGTTGTTCTTCAATGTTGGTGATTACCTTGTCTTCCTTGCTTTTCACTGGTCGTTTTGGTTTACGGTAATTTCCAGCGAGTTTCTTTGTTGTATCATACAATTGTCTCATGTTTCCTCCTCTTGCAGCCTTTTCCACTGCCATTGCTAAGTCTTCCACATATTCAAGTTTGTCGGTTCTTATGCTCCTCTTCACTTCCTTGTTTATTTCTGTGTATTCGGCTTATGCCTTGGCTTTTTCTGCTCTTGTTCGGCTGGTATTGATTGCTGTCTTCTTGTTCCTCCTTTCTTCAATCTTATTCAGTGTATCAATAGTGATGCCTTCCTTGTGATGGTGCTTCTTGTGGTGCAGAACCTCCTGACATGTTGAAGTGATTGCCTCTTTGATCCCTCTTTAGTTGTTCTCCATGGTAGTTCCCTCTCCATTGAGTAGCTTATGAAAGGCCTGGAACCTATTGTGGAGGGCTATGTTGAATTCGTTGAGTCTGTCAGTATCCTGAAAAAAGACTGTATTAAACGTTTGTGATATTGTTCGCCTCGCTGTCCAGAGCTTCTTGAGTTTCAGTTTCCATCTTGGCGACCATCAGATTTGTTTTAATTTCAATTTATTCCTCTGCATTCTAATCTCTTCTCTTGGTGTCTTCATTATTTGGAGACTATTGTTATTGGATTTTTTTTCTACAAAAAAAATCACAATTGTTCATTCGTAATTAGTAAATTACTTTAATTAATAACATCAAAGTGTCATACGAAGTTTTCAAAAAGAAAAAAACTTTTTTTGTGAAAAAAAATTTAAGAGATGAAACAACTAGATTAATATGATTGATGGTACACACACATATGTGTATATAGGCTTGTTTGTGTGTGTGTGTGTGTTTGGTTGGGGGGAGAGCTCACACAGACACAAGAAGAACACAAAGGCACCTTAAGTTTATAGTCATTTTATTTAAAAAAAATAACATACAAATAATATGTTACTATGACAAAGGGTTAAGCTAAAATAACTCTACATCTCTACTCAGTAATCACAACATTAATCGATAGACATTTCATTGCAGAGGGTTCATCTAACAGGGGTGACAATATATATATTAAAGAAGAGATCGAATTTATCATAAACATATACATATACAACATTACATGTATAAACATGTAAGCACACAAGGAAAAAAACCCGATGAGAATCCATTTGTTTACTGCTATATGATTGATATGAATTCAATGTAGAAAATAGAAAATCAGTACATTTTCTGAAGGTGTATGTAAGTAGTTAGATAGGTGGAATGGAAACAGCAGACTAATAGAGAAATGTAAGCACATTCATATAAACTAATAAAGGATGTATGAGATGAACAAACTAATATGCAACGTGAATTGTATCAGTCATATGGAATGCAATTCTGAGTCATGCTTAAGAGTTATATATTACATGATGATGGTTATTGTAAACTAATAACTAAGATATATATCTCTTTTCATTATAAAATGTAATTCAGTAATGAAGTAGAGTAAGAGAAAAATGAATGATAATAATATCAACGATTGTCTAGTTGAGAGAGCTTGAATGATCCCATTGTTATTGTTATGTTATCGTCTACAATTGGTAGGCCCCTAAATGCCCTGGTACGGCCGAGAGTGGAGAGAGTCCGCTCTCCCTCCCGAAATGCTCTCACATGGCCACGCGTATATAGCCTCTACCAGAGAAGTCCTACTCATTGACTTCTCGTGGTGGAGGTGTTGTTTGCGAAATTGAGAGGACGAAAAGCCAATGTTCGGCTCTTTAACCGGGTCGGTGGACACGGAAAGTCCACCTAAGGGAGTTGGAAAGCCCTGATTTCAAACCAAAAGTGCACATGGGCTCCAGGATCCTGAAGGAACAATTGGCGTATTAACCTATTGTTGGTGACTGACTACCATGGGACTGAATCTCCTCACGATGCTTCACTGTCTTGTGGATCAGACCTTTAGGTCAAAGGCTCCGGGTGTGGCCCCTTAAGAAAACCACCTGCTTCAGTTTGGGCACCTGAGTAGTATCACAGCCCTCACAAATCGAATAAGATTTGTGAGGCGCATATATATCTGGTGCTTTTTTGTACCAATATTTATGTGTATAAATAAATAAATAGACAATTGGTATGTGTACATTCTGAATGGATTGATTCGATATTGCCATTTTTACTTAGAAGCAGAATTCGGTAGTGGTTAGCAATGGAATCAAGAAATTGTGTTTTGTCTTATTTAAGACTAGACATCTAGATGTGACCACACCTTAGTAATGTTGACGATCAAATATGGAATTCGAACATAGTATCTGTTGACTCAAATGGCCATTGTGTTATCCACTGACTTTTTGAGTCCAAACAATCTCTGGGATTTGCAACGACTATGTACTATAATTCAGCTGTAAGAATTTTAATTTTTCCGTTGTCGATACAGGGCAAAAGGTGCGTCTTAGATCGCACTAATAGCCATTATCTAACTTTGCCCAATTATTAGTTTGATAGTGTATAAATATGTGTAGACCTGATAGCAGTTGTTAGTCATGATGATCTAATCAAGCTATATTAGCTGGGACACTTATTTTAGGAATGCTGGTTGAATGACAATTAGACTAAAAGATTCGAATTGAAGGTTTAAGGGTAAAGTCTTGTTGTAGAGTATATTAAGCGTATGATTGTATCTAGGTGTTTCCATTATACAGCCAACAGTTCCTCATGCGATACTGCCATCCCATAACGTAAGGAACGGCAGTTTAGAAAAAGTAAGCTGTAAAAACAATATTTCTCATTTTGTTCTCTCCGTTGCTGTTGATAAGGCCTCATAGGTATATCCAGTCAGTAACTTAAGAACTACCTCAAAGAAAAGGCTATATGTAACCAATTTCAAGCAGTTGTTTCTTCTCTTGGGGTACAGAATCGTACTGTCAGGTGATGGGCACATGTTCACTTTTCTCTACTATATGTGCTTCATATTTATATAATTCTGTAGTTTATAAATCCAGTTGCAATTATGCTTTTTAATGCTTTTTTTCTTCAAGGTCCATCAAGTCAAGTTGCTCAACGTTTTTATCGAAGCCTAGTTAATGGTTCTGTGTGTGGTTCACCATTCCCAATAACTCCTGTTGGTAGTTCTAGTTCGTCAACATTTAATTTTCTTCACACTCCTAACAATTGTGTCGGAGTAAGCGGTGTCTCTGTAGGAGGTATTGTCACATGCGAACAAAACAATAACATAACACCATTGAGCTATTGTCATCAAACAAATGGACTAACTACTACTACTACTACTGATGATAATAATAGCAGTAATTATTCCATGTTACCAACTAATCATTTGCATAGTTTAAGTTTCACTCCTTTGTCTATTGATGATTTAGATTCATCGAATAGTTTACAAATTCTACCAACATGTACAAATCATGAATTACTATTGACAAATAATCGTAATTGTACAAATCAATGCGCAATATTAAATCATCATCATTGTTCCTCATCACTGTCTTCATCATCATCGTCTCAATTTATTTCCTCCTCTTCTTCTTCATCATCATCATCATTATCGTCTTCTTCCTCTACTATATCATCGTTTAATAGTCATGTCAACAACAACAATAATAATAGCAATACTGTACCGATATCGTCGACAACATCTGCTTTCTCATTGCAGAACTAGAAGTATTTGTGTGTGTATGTGTATATGTGCTTCAAGCGCCCCCTTCCCTTCTTCGTGTGATGATGTACACAAATGTGGCCTGTTTGCTTTTTTTTTTACAGGGAACTTTGTTTTTCTCTTTGTCAGCTATTTGGGTATACAAAAGTGTTTTTTTATAATTGTTCTTATATATTCAGAGAGAAAAAAGATATTCTTGAACCCCAGTTATTTTATTTATTCAATGTTATGCATTCAATGACTTTATTTTGCCTATTATTGTTTGTTATATGAACAACCGATCATGATTGCATTTTACACTCTGTGTGTGTATGTGTGCATCTATCAATGTCGGTCGGTGTGGCCTTCTGTTTTCTTTTATTTTGGTGTGTATTACATAGTTTCTTGTCAATGATCGTTGTTGTTATTTGTTTGTTTTCTTTCTCGTTTCATTCTTTCTCTTTTCTTTCAATACTCAAACACATATGATTGAATATGCCTATTTTTACAGTTGACTAATATGTGCTTTTGTTCTATCCGTGATTGCGTTCATCGCCCAACTACACTAGACCTTCACAGAATAGTCGGGTTGGGGGGGGGAGGGCATGTGTATTGGTTTACAGTTGCTCTTTTTTCCGTTTCCTGTTTTTCGAACCCTCAAATAAGTTGACATCACAATTTTGTCATTGTGGTCCTATAAGCGTCTTTGGATTTTTATCGATTACAATGTCTTATGATTGTGTGTACAGTAAAAAAATTAAGTGTAAAATGTATATTTCCGCTATTTCCCTTTTATTGTTACTTGGACAATATGTTACATCATTTGATATATGTGTGTAGTATGTGGACAGAAACACCATCATGACGTCGACGATGTTGAAAAGGAAGGTAAGAATTGTGCTATCTGGTGTGCAGTCTCTTCACCTCTCTATTTCTTTCTCTCTCGCTCTGTTTATTTACTTTCTGCTACATGCTTGTATATGTATTTCATTAGCCTTTCTCATTAACAAATTCAATTCATTCTGTATTGTACACAATCATATCTAGGGATTTTTTTTATCTATACATATGTACTACTTATTGTTCTCTCCTTCTACTTATATCCATGTAAGTATTATATTACCCGGTTGTTACAACTGATTGATACATTCATTCATTGAATATCTATATACACAAAGTCCACATTCTATGAATCCTATGAATGTTTATTTTATTGTACCGGTTGTTCTTCTTCTTTATTGTATGTCCACCCTTATTATACATCATGGTAACTAATAGTGTACAACCAGTGTTATTTTGTCATATACTACTTTTAATAATTATGCAATACCCCATTTTTTCATCATTTTATTCTATTACATAATGATTATTTATTTGATTGGATAATTTATTGTGTTATATTATAGCGCCAAAAGATATTATATATATAAACATTTATTTGTTTATTTATTTATTTATTTATTATTATATCCCCCTGATTACTTACATACTACTAATAGTACTATTCGCCTACTCATTGTGTCCATTTACCCCCCCTCTTCTCCCTCCCTCCCCCTCTCTCTCATACACACACACATAAAGTAGAAACTTATTCGTTTGTGTAATTACCTAATTTGCATGTATGTATGTATTTATGTATCATTTATTGTATGGTTGATTAGGTTTCATCGTTCCTGTGTTCCTATTTTTCTCTCTTTTTTGTATTTTTTCTTCTCATCGTATATGTATATTGTTATTTTTTGTCACTCCCCCCTCCTTACCTTTGTATTATATATAAATAAATATTTTTCTATATGCTAAAGAGATAAAAAAGAAAAGATTGTGAAACACCAAATACTACTACTAATAATAATAGTCAATATTATACTATATATATATATGCCTTATATTTATTTATTTGTTTATTCGTGATTTTGTTTTCCTCTTCAGGAAGAATAACTATGTGAAATTGTAGATATATATGATAATGGTGATATGTGAGCGTGTGTGTGTGTGGGGGGGGGCGGCTGGGTGCACATTATTCTAAATTGGGGAAAAATGTAACATGAAGAGAGAAAGAGGGAATGGGTGGGTAGTAACACACAACACATACTGATTTTACTATATATGAATAAAACTAGTGATATGTATTACTATTATGTTCTAAGAAAAGGAATGTTAATCACCGTGCCATACAACAACATTACTACTAATGATAATATAGGGTGGGTGTTTCTTTCATTAGAGAAGGAGAGAGAGCGAGAAAGGAAGTAAACTTTATTTATTTATAATATTGATAATTTTAGGCTTTTATTTTATATATTTTTATTATTATTCACCCCCCTCCTATGCCTTCGTTTCATTACCCCTTTAGTGTCTTGTTTTTTTTAAATTTTTAAAAAAATACACATTCAATGATTTAATGTTGTATAAATAAATTACAAAATATGTAATTCTATAAATTTCTACATTCAAAATTGCCTCTTTTTGTATAAGTGTTTAAGTGAGTATTTGTATATTCATTGTAACTGTGCATCTTTGAAGTATGAATGATGACACACACACACACTCTCTGAATGAACATATATATGTGTAGATAAAACATTCATTTTTCCTTTTCAATACATACTTCTTTTATGTTCTTCCAGTTTTATTCTTTTTCTTTTCTGCCAGTTTTTCCCTCTATCTCTCAAAATTCTGCAAATCTCCCCCTTTTTTTTAATGTATAAATTAATTGAATTGTAATGATTTGTTCAATAATTTTAAAACAAAACATGTTTTATGGATCCGTTTAGTGTATCTCTAATTACCATATGATTACCCCCAACCTATTTTGATTTGAACAATTAGGTAATGTGGTAGTTGTTAAGGTATATATAAATAGATATATATATATCAATACTAGCACATATTACAAATATTGAAACTCAAAATCAATTGTGTATTTATTGTTCATTAATGATAATGAGTTGTATGAAAAATCAATAGAAAGATGAAAGTGGGTAAGGGGGCGTTAGAATTGACAATAGATGAGTATCATTTTATTTCTTTTTCATTCCCTAATTTATAATGTAAATGCTTATGTATATTACCTTATTCACTATATGCTCATCTCTCTTGCCTTTAAAATTTAATTTAAATAAATAGTCTATTCTATAATTGTAATTCACTACCGGTTACTAAAAAAAAATAATAATAATAAACGGTGAATTTTACTATGGCTTACAATATTGGGTTGTTTGTTTTTTTCCCCCCTCCTCCTTTCTTACTACTTCAACCACTATAGGATTTAAATCGACAATTGCATCTATGTTCTAATTTGGTATGGCAACTCGAACTAATGTACGTAAGTACGAAGTTCTATGTTGTGACTGGCTGACTGACCCCCCCCCTCTCCCTAAATTCAAATAAGATACAATTAACCCTTTTTGGTAATAATAGTAATAATAATATAAAAAATGTATACTACTTATTATTATTTTTTACTACTTTTATATATATATATCTATCTCTCTCTATATATAAAGGTCTATATTGTATTACCTTTATTGTTTATGCATGTGTTACTTTACTTGTGATCTAATTATTATTGCTGATCATACAATTATTATTATAATATAATTATGATTATTGTTATTGTTTACTTCTTTTTCTTCCTCTTTTCTCTTTTTTTGTTGTTCCGTTTGTTCTGTTTATTTGTTTACTTATTTACTTGTTTTTCTTCGATTTATTAAAAAACAAAAGAAGCAGAGATTAAACAAACGGATACATGTACGTATATGTATGTATGTGTATGTAGGTATGTATAGTGATGTTGTAATTATTCGGTTTATTAATTGCTAAGATGATCCATTTCTTTTATAGTAAACATTATGAATATTAATAAGGTATTGTGTGTTCTTTTGTTAATTATTATCAGAAGGGATGTTTTTGTGGAGATTTAGTATTTGCATAGTTAAAAGCATGAGTAAATTGAAGCTAGACCACCAAAAAAAACCTGGAAGCGCTGGACGGCTGTATCGATCTATTGTGGGACTCCTCTGTGGCAGTGCGCATCTAATGGTCTATCGGTTAAGTGCTCTGGCGCGAGACTGGTAGATCCTGGGTTCGAATCTCGCTCATGAGGTGAGGTCGTGGATGCACACTGCTGAGGAGTCCCATAATAGGACGAAACTGCCATCCAGTGATTCCAGGTTTTCCATGGTGGTGTAGCTTCAATTGAGTCATGCTTTCAACTATTTTCTTTTTATATTTAACAATTTCAAAGATTGTAGTTAAATGATAAAAAGGATGAGGATGTACATTTGTTTAATGGTATACGTTGAAATGTATGCAGATGTAAAACAATAGTTTGTATTCATGTTTCTATGCTGGTGATATCATTTGGATGATCAAGTCAAAGTATTTATAGTGAATATGAACACGGATGAGGACAGTCGAAAGTATTTGAGCACAAAATTACAAATTATCTCAGTAAAACCTAACAACCATACATTAAATAGGTAATTTGCAGACTATTAATCAATTGTCTCAATCTTGACTGTTCCTTCTGCAAATATTAGTCCATCTCTAATTTCATTGTTCATTCAATCTCATACGAATCGCGTTACGTATTAGTAATAGTGATTAGGTATCGAAGAAAAAAAGTTTTGAAATGTTTCTAATTCACTATCTAAGGGATGATAGAAAAATAGGTGTACCTGCTTCAATATGTACAATTTTGAAGCATATCACACAGTCTTCAACTGTTGATTATGATAATCATGCTGAACCCAACCAGGTGGTTTACGCATATTAACATAGCTCAGTCCAGTTGTTAGTTGGTCCATAGACTGGTGTCACGTATTGCTTTGGCCGTTCATTAGCATGCATGTGACTTCATTATTGTCCGATTCATGAACCCAATACGCATTAGCAATTATTCGAATGGATTTTTAATCGAACACTATGGACCTTGTGGCCTGCGTGCCCAGTTAATGTATGACGTGATAAGACAGCCAATTAGAGAACAGTGAATTATCGATCGGACCAATGACAAAAAACCC